TAATACAGTCTGTGTTGTAATGTCTGTGGCACTTAGTAAACATACAAATTATTGTGTTATGCAGGGTTCGTCAATCTTGCGTGACTCGCACTCAAAGATTAAAATAAATCACCAGAGAAGCAGCTCGTGAACAGTTGTCTCTACTCTCTCTTGCTCAGCACAAAGAAAAACAACACAACAACTTGTCATTCAGCCAATCAGCAAGCACACTGATGAGCTCTGAAGTAAATCAAGTTTAAGAAAAGTAACACAGATTCCACCTGTAATTCAGTGAAACAGGAAACACAATGAAATAAAATTTTAATAATTTAAAATTAAATTTTAGAGCAGGAACAGAGATTCCCATCTAACTGTTGATATATATTGTGACAGATCGGCTGCCTCCCCCGTATTTATCATCATCACGGCCCTTAATCGCCGCCCCTCATCAGGTTCCCGATAGCAGTGTGTGTGTAAGAAAGTTGGGGTGCAGAAACAGTCAGGGCTGGCGGCGCATGATGAGGCACACATGAAGTGAATGGAGCCTCGTCACCGCCACCGTTAAATGCCGAGCGAGCCTCTCCTCGAGAGACCGATCTCTTCCCCCGTGCATGCACGCTGGTGTCCTCGTGGGTCCGGGAAGTGAGCGCAGAGGGATTCCCGCACCGCCAGAGAAGTGAGCTGCCGGACCCACGGTCCAGAATGGAGACGCACCAGTGACGTCGCTGACAGGTAGGATGCCGGGCCATTAATCCCCTGAAGCGCTGTGGGCCAGGGAAGATTAGCCGCTGTGAAGAAGATGCCATCCCTCGCACCCACAGAGAGGGGAGCGTGTGCAGCCACCGGTCTCCGCCCCCTACCTGGACCCCTCCTTTCCGAACACTGCTCTCCTTCATATATATATATATATATATATATAAATTCAAGTCATACCAAGGCCACTGGCATTTAGACACCTTTACATCAAAACATAATCAAAACAATTAAATACCCAGTCAGTTTAACCTGACATTGACCCAGACATGCAGCCAGACCAGAACTTGCACTCTGATTAAGTGTAGGAATAACAGGCAGTGGGTCTGCTGAGAAAGGGTGAGGTCCAGGAGAAAGTGGTGTCTGTGGCAGGATAGGGTCCTTAGGCATCTCTTTAGATGTGCACAGGGCAATCTGTAGAAGTTTGAAAGGTAAGGCACATGATAGAGCCATCAAGGATGTGGTAGGGTGTGGACTCGAGGGGATATTTTATTTCTCTTTTTGAAGGACTGGTGCACAATATGGTCTCAGTCGGTTGTAATGGACAATTTGACGCTTATCTGATTCATCCAGGAGATAATGTATAAGGAAAAAGGGTGTAAAACCAGTCGACGAATGGGGACTAGTATTATATGCTAATGCTACCCGGCTGAGATAATCATCCCATTCCCCTTGTTGTTGCTGCAGAACCTTGGCCAGATGTTCAATAAGAGTTCTACTGAAGTGTTCAACCATACCATCACATTGTGGAGAGTATGGGCTGG